TCCAAGGGGAGCCTGCTCTCAGTATCGCTTCACCGATCCCCATCCCCATCCCCATCCCCAGCCAGACCCCCACCATCTCATCCCCCCCCGTTGGGGATCTACCCTCCGAAATCTGGCAGAAGCTGCCAATATCCCCATCCAGGGGGGTACTCCAGATTTCGTAATAAAGGGAGGGGGGTCTCATTTCGGGGGGGGGGTCTCTTCCAGGCTATCTTGGAGGGCCTGGGGGGTGAGCATGCTACGCATGGAATGAATTCAATGGAAATAAATCGCAGTGGATCCGTGAGTGGATCAATCTAGACTGATGAGGCTATGATGCATCTTTTGATTTTGAGCCGGCTATGATGCCCGCTCGTGCCCACCCCGTCCCGTCTTCAGGGACTTCGCATCCTCCTATGATGGTAAGATGGGAAGACGGGCCGCCGCCCCTGGCACTGCACGTACGGCGCCAGGTTTGTGGGGATTTGGTTCGACCCCCGCAGTTCCGGTGATGGAAACTGCAAGGGGTGTGAGGCCTCATGGTGGTCCTCACTGGTAAGGCCTATGATGGTCCTCACCAGGGGGGGGGAGGGCAAGGGCGGACCAGGAGGAGGAGGACAGGGAGGAAGAGGAGGACGATGACGAGACAGTTGAGTTCAATGAACAGATTGAGCGCGAAGGCCTATGATGGTCCTTCTTCCCAAAACGAGCCTTGCTGATGGCCCCGAATTGGGTGCGAGGTGCCTATGATGGCCCCTCTAGTTGCCTATGATGGCGGCACTAGACGACCGGCAGGGGACTGGGTCCCGTTCACGGTCCATTAGGGGTGAGCATGCTACGCATGGAATGAATTCAATGGAAATAAATCGCAGTGGATCCGTGAGTGGATCAATCTAGACTGATGAGGCTATGATGCCTCTTTTGATTTTGAGCCGGCTATGATGCCCGCTCGTGCCCACCCCGTCCCGTCTTCAGGGACTTCGCATCCTCCTATGATGGTAAGATGGGAAGACGGGCCGCCGCCCCTGGCACTGCACGTACGGCGCCAGGTTTGTGGGGATTTGGTTCGACCCCCGCAGTTCCGGTGATGGAAACTGCAAGGGGTGTGAGGCCTCATGGTGGTCCTCACTGGTAAGGCCTATGATGGTCCTCACCAGGGGGGGGGGGAGGGCAAGGGCGGACCAGGAGGAGGAGGACAGGGAGGAAGAGGAGGACGATGACGAGACAGTTGAGTTCAATGAACAGATTGAGCGCGAAGGCCTATGATGGTCCTTCTTCCCAAAACGAGCCTTGCTGATGGCCCCGAATTGGGTGCGAGGTGCCTATGATGGCCCCTCTAGTTGCCTATGATGGCGGCATTAGACGACCGGCAGGGAACTGGGTCCCGTTCGCGGTCTATTAGGGGTGAGCATGCTACGCATGGAATGAATTCAATGGAAATGAATCGCAGTGGATCCGTGAGTGGATCAATCTAGACTGATGAGGCTATGATGCCTCTTTTGATTTTGAGCCGGCTATGATGCCCGCTCGTGCCCACCCCGTCCCGTCTTCAGGGACTTCGCATCCTCCTATGATGGTAAGATGGGAAGACGGGCCGCCGCCCCTGGCACTGCACGTACGGCGCCAGCTTTGTGGGGATTTGGTTCGACCCCCGCAGTTCCTGATGGAAACTGCAAGGGGTGTGAGGCCTCATGGTGGTCCTCACTGGTAAGGCCTATGATGGTCCTCACCAGGGGGGGGGGGAGGGCAAGGGCGGACCAGGAGGAGGAGGACAGGGAGGAAGAGGAGGACGATGACGAGACAGTTGAGTTCAATGAACAGATTGAGCGCGAAGGCCTATGATGGTCCTTCTTCCCACGGGGGGGTCTGAAATGGCTTGTCTTGAAGGGTCCAGACCCCCTCACTTTTATTGCGACATCTGGAGTAACTCGTAGAGCTTCCCTAAGCAAGTTGTTGCTAGAAGCTTAAGAGTAATTCCGGGGCGCTGGAGAGCTAGTTGGCAAGAAAAATCTCGACGGACTTTTTTGTGACTTTTGGTCGGTTGAAATTTTTGTTCTCGAAATTCAACCATTCGTTAGAACTCTAGTATTTTTTCCCGTGATATTCGATCTTATTCCCGCTCGCCATCTTGATCTCAGCTCGATCGGGTACCTTTTACTGCCAAAAAGCACTGCGGCGGGATCGGCCGTTTCGAGTCATCTTGATACGCGCTGTCGGTTATTCTAAGATAACTCGAGCTTTAGGACAGCTACAGAGCTGGTAAGCACAGCTAATCGATTCAGAATGATCAGGCGCGTTCGCCTGTTGAATCCAGAGGTCTGAACTCGGTCTGCTAGCCGAGCTAGGTCCGCAAACCTATTTGTATTATTCGAGTCATCTTGACAGGCGCTCTCGGTTTTCTGTACTTAACTCGAGCTATAGGACCGCTACAGAGCTGATACGTACAGAAATCGATTCAGAATCATCAGTCGCGTTTGTCTGTTTGTCTGTTGAATACAGAGCTCTGAACTCGGTCTGCTGCCCGATCCAGAATCGCGAAACTGTTCGTACTGTTCGAGTCATCTTGCGAGGTGCTGTCGGTTTTCTGCACTTAACTCGGGCTGTAGGGGGGCTACAGTGCTGGTGGTGACAGCAATCGATTTGGATACATCAGGCGCGTCCGCCTGTGGAATCCAGAGCTCGGAACTCGGCCTGCTGCCCGAACTAGGTCCGCGAAACTGTTCGTATTGTTCGAGTCATCCTGAAAGATGCTGTCGGCTTTCTACACTCAACACAGGAATCGATTCGGAGACATCAGACACGTCCGCCTGTCGCATTCAGGTCTGAACTCGGCCTGATACTCGAGCTGGGTTTGCCAAACTATTCGTTTTCTTCGAGTCATCTTGAGAGGTGCTGTCGATTTACGCACGTAACTCGGGCTGTAGGAGAGCTACAGAGCTCGTACAGAAGACAATCCAGAAGCATCGGGGGGCGTTCGGCTGTTGCATCGAGAGGTCTGAAATCGCTTGGGCTGAAAAACTATTCGTTCTCTGCATTTTTTTCGACAGTACATCTTTGCAGGAAGCTCTACGAGTCCCCCGGCGGTAAGAAAGGTTGACGGTTTACCGCCGGCGCCCAGTAAACTGGCCCGTGGGGCCCAGGCCATGCGAGTGGGGATGGGGATCGCTGAAGCGATGCTCGTGGGCCAGGGGAGAGCCACAAGCCATCGGCGCCCTTCCGGCGTCCTCTGCTGCCTTGAGGCGGCTCGGGCGCCGCCGCAGCGTCGGCCGCTCGCCGTCCCTGGCCGCCGGAGGGGCCCCTGGCCGGCGTCCAGCTCGGCCCGCCCTGGCCCTGGCATCGCTCGGACGTGTGCATTTTTCCTTCGGCGAGGACCATCGAGGAGCACCCTTGCTCATTTGGCGAAAAAGCCACGCGCGAAGCCAACAACAAACACGGGGAGTGGACGTCCGAGCGATGGCAAGTGGCAGCAAGCTGCCAGAGGCAGCGTGCTCCGCGAGCCCCTGCAGCCGCTTCGGCCCGCAGGGCGGCCTCGTCCATTCGAGACACCTCGCCACGCGCATGCGCACCACCTCGGAGGTCGAGCTCCTGCCCTCGCCCTCTTCCACGACCTGGCCGTCGGACTCGGGCTCTAAGCACTGAGTTCCAGCATCGGCTTTCGACTCCATCCCAAGCTGGGCGTGGGGCTCGGTGGCGGTCACCACCTCCCGCTCCACGATGGGCTGCGCGGCCTCCCCCCCGTTTGCAGATCTGGCTGGATGTCGGCTCCTGGGGACTGCATCACGTCCTCCACCCGCACCTGTTCCACGTCGGACTTGAGGGTGCCGGGTGTCGCGTTGGATTCAGAGTGCTTCGTGGTGACGGACTGGGCGTCAGGCGTGGCGTCGAGGCTGTCCCCAGCGACTTCCTCCTCCTCCTCCTCCTCCACCACGCTCTCCTCGTCCAGGCCCTCCTCCCCAGACTCCTCTGGAACGACGGCCGAAACGCTGGGCTGGGTGTCGGGGATGGCGCCGCCGCTGCTGCCGCCCCTCCCTGCCATATCTCTGCCGCCGTTGTCCACTGCCAGGCCTCCGACGCCAAGGACGGAGCTGCCTGGCGGGGGTCCGCCTGCCGCCTTGCCTCGGCATGTACTCCAGATTTCGTAATAAAGGGAGGGGGGTCTCATTTCGGGGGGGGGTCTCTTCCAGGCTATCTTGGAGGGCCTGGGGGGGTCTGGGGACGATGTTTTGGAGGGTTCTCCCACGGGGGAGGTCTGAAATGGCTTGTCTTGGAGGGTCCAGACCCCCTCCCTTTTATTACGAAATCTGGAGTCAGCAGCGCACTTCGCGCGGCACGGCCTCGCGGGGCCACCGCGCGCCAAGCCGGCGGTGCCGCGCCAGCAGCCGAGCGCGCCACGGGCCCGCAGCGAGGCGGCGCGTGCCGCCCGCTGCTCCGCCTCCGCGGCGCCATGCGCAGCCGCCCCTCCGTCTGGACGCGGCTCAACTCGGGGCCTGCCATCGCGGCTCCCCGCGCCTGGATTCGGGGATGGACAGACCCCCCTTTAGAGTAAAACGTGGTTTAGTGAAAACGGCCTAAGGTTCGAACCTGGCGGGCGCAAGCCTGGAAAATAACGGCCGCGGCGCCCTCTCGAGAACCGAAAACGGACAATTCACTAATCGACGTGTCACTGTTGGGGGTTCTGTCCACCCCCGATGGATCTCGGGGCAGTGCGATGTCACCTTGCGCCTCGCTGTCGCCAGCGGCGGCCGCTCGAGGCCCCGGCGGTCTGCCTCCCGGTTCGGCGCCGCCCCCGCCAGGCACCGGGCGCGCTCGCCTTGCTCCACCTCCCGGTCGACGCCAGCCCCGATGCCAACTTCACCAAGGGTGGCAGCCTGGGAGGGCGTGTGGCGCTCCGCCCTCCCAGGCTGCCGCAGCGCCAGGCGGCAAGCCTGCCACCCCACGATCTCCAGCTCCAGCTCGCCTACACGCCAGAGAGCCGCACGAAGGCGTCCTTCGACAGCTTGACGTGCCGCTTGCTGGCGCGCGCGCGCGCGCCGCCTCGCCTGCTCGGCCGCCGCAGCGCTGGGCGGCCTGCCGCCCGCTGGTGACTGCTGGCCGGCTCCGGAAGCCACTGCGCAGCCCGCCGCCGTCATTTGCTGCTCACTGGCCATCCGCCGTCCGCATGGGCGGCCCAGGACGCAGCTTGAGCCAGATTGGCTACATATTATGATGGCGATGGTGAGGGTGATGGTGATGGTGATGGTGATGGTGAGGGTGATGGCGAGGGCGAGGGCGAGGGTGATGGTGATGGTGATTGGGATGATGATGATGATGATGATGATGATGATGATGATGATGATGATGATGATGATGATGATGATGATGATGATGATGATGATGATGGTGATGGTGATGGTGATGATGATGAGGAGGAGGTGGAGGAGGAGGAAGAGGTGGAGGAAGAGATGGAGGAGGAGGAGGAGGAGTGGGTGGGGCGGCCAGGGTGCCCTCCTCCTTCTCCTCCTCCTGCCCCTCCACCTTTGCTGCTGCTGCTGCTGCTGCTTGCCCCCCTCCCTCTGCCTCTGCTTCTCCCCGTCCCAGCCGAGCCCGCGTCGCCTCTCGCCGTCGCTCGCGCGCGCCAGTTGTGGCAAGGGCAACACCTCCTGCGCCGTCGTGACGGTGGACAAGATGATCTGCGAGGGACTCGAGGTCGCTGGCTTTCAGGGCTTGCTAGGCGACCTCGGGGGGGCCTCCTCCTCCCACTTGCTCCTCTCCTCCCTCTCCTCCTCCCTCATCCTCTTCCCTCCTATCTCCCTCTCTCCCGCCCTTCCTCTTCCTCACTCTCCTCCTCGTCCTTATTCTTCTCCTCCTCTTGCTCCCGCGCGCGCGGCGGAGGGAGGGAAGGAGAAAGAGCAAGATGAGGTGCATGAGGAGGAGGAGGAGGAGGAGGAGGAGGAGGAGGAGGAGTGGGACAGGGGGAAAAATCTGATAGTGATGGTGATGACTCTGATTCTGGTGGTATGTGTGGTGGTGGTGGTGAGGTGTTGTTGGTGGTGATGGTTATGGTTATGGTGGTGGTGGTGATGACGACGATGGTGGTGATGATGGTAATAATGATGAAGATGATGATGATGATGATGATGATGATGATGATGATGATGATGATGATGATGATGATGATGATGATGATGCTGATGATGATGATGATGATGATGATGATGATGATGCTGTTGATGTTGATGTTGATGGCGATGATGAAAGTGGTGATGGTGATGCACAGTAGCGATAATGATTATGCTACTGTGATTGTTGTTGTTGTTGCTGTTATTGAGGATGATGGCGTTAGCGAAGATGATGCTGACATGATGATGCTGATGCTGATGCTGATGCTGATGATGATGATGATGATGATGATGACGATGATGATGAAGCTGATGATGATTGATGATGATACTGATGATGCTTATGATGGTAATGCTGATGTTGGTGATGGTGATGTGTATGGCGTGGGCAATGGCGATGGTGATGGCGATGGCGATGGCGATGGTGGTGATGATGATGGTGATGATGGTGGTCATGGTGATGATGGTTCTGATGGTTGCGGTGACGGTGGCGGTGATGGTGATGATGATGATGATGCTGATGATGATGATGATGATGATGATCATCATGCTGTTGCATGGTGGATGATGGATGCTATTGATGTTGATGTTGATGGTGATGATGATCGTGATGGTGATTGTGATGGTTATGGTGGTGGCGGTGGTGGTGGTGACGACGACGACGACGACGAGGATAGTGATGACGACGACGAGGATGATGATGACGATGACGATGACGAGGATGATGATGATGATGATGATGATGATGATGATGATGATGATGATGATGATGATGATGATGATGATGATGATGATGATGATGATGATGATCATGATGATCATGATGATGGTGGTGGTGGTGGTGGTGGTGGTGATGATGATGATGATGATGATGATGATGATCGCACCGCTTCCACAGGTGCCACTGGCCAGAGCAATCGGGGCCATGTGCCCCCATCCCAGGCGCACCCAACCTGCAGCCCCGCATGGGGCCCACCGCCCCAGGCAGAACCCCGACACCCCCTCGCGTGGCGGCGACGCCGAGGGCATCTGGGCCCCCCACCCGCACGCACTCCGCCCGAGCGTGGAGGCACCCGCGCCCCGTTGGACCGACCGCCGCCCCCTGCAGCGCGCGGGCCGGCAGCGGCAGGGGGCAGCGGGAGCAGCGGCCTTTCAAGGTCGCGGGAAGCGCGTGGCCGCGGGACACGGCCGCGCCCCGCGGGCGCACGCCGCGAGTGCGGCGCCGCCCGCTTGGACGCGCCGCCGTCGGCAGGCCGAACGCCACGGCGGACGCTACGTACAGCAATCGCAGGGCAAGGCGCCTCGGGTCATCGCGAGGAGCCGCGCGAGAGAGGCTGAGTCCGACAGAGCCACCGCGCCCAGCAGGGGTTGGCGGAGCAGCCCCCCGAAGAGGTCGCCCAGCAGGGGCCCAGAAGGGAGGGTCCGGGTGGTCGAGTCGCCCGCCTCGGGGCTCGGCGGTTCGGACGTTCTGGAGCGCTTCGGCGTTCCTCGTGGATCGCCCAGCTCCTGCCCACCCCGCAGCCGACTAGAGAAGAGGCAGCACCAAGGAAGAGACAGTGCGTAGGCCCTATCCGCGTACAGTCGCTGACACAGCGGCACATCGCAGCATATCGCAATCGACTTGCACCATGCAGCAATCTATGCACATGTATCTGTATACGTATATGTATATGTACACATATATATATACCTATATAGATGCTATATATGCATACACGCATGTTTTTAGGTAGGCGTATCTATAGATGCATACGTCTGTGTGCGAATTTAGGTTGTTGTAAATGTGTGTATATATGTGTGTGTATGTCTATGTTTATCTATTTGCATATGTATTTGAATGTGTACATGCGCATGCTTATGTGATGTAGAGGTGCATGTATAGGTGTAGCTAAACATCTATGTATGTACAGTGCCGTTTTTTTAATACATGCAGGGGTTTAGCATTAAAAACAACGATGAGTTCATGCATACATGTATTCATACATGAACCATGTATTAAAACATCCTATATTAAACATCCCATGTATTAAAACCTGCCTTGTATATGCATGTGCATGTGTACAGTTATATGTGTATATATTACATGTTTTGTATGTATGAATATGCATATCTATATATATATATATATATATGCATTTGCATATGTAGATGTTTGCGTGTATGCATATGTATACGTTTATGTATATGCATATGGATATATGCATACGTAACTGAATGTGTTTATGTATGTGCATGTGTATCGGTAAATGCTGATGCATATGTATAGGTTGATGCATTCGCATGTGTAAATCTATATGTACATGTATATGTATATGTATATGTATGGGTAGTTATAAATGTATATGTGCATGTATGTGTAGATGTATAGGTATGCGAATCGGTAGTTGTATTTGTAGTTGTATATGTGTACGTATATGTCCACGTTTATGTATGTACATGTATATGTACATATATTTATATACATATGCACCTATATATATGTATAGGTTTAGGTATTTGTATGTGTACAGATATAGGTATACGTACGTATGTGCAAATATATACGTATATGTGTAGGTGCACGTATAGGCATAGTCATATGTTTATATATAGACATATACATACATATAGTTATGCATATATACAGATACATGTATATATACATGCATTTGTATATGTACATGTACATGTATATGTATACGTATACGTATTTGAACATGTATATGTATATGTGAACGTATGTTTGTATATGTGTATTGGTATACGTAAATTTGTATGTATACACCTATAAGCATTGGTCTGATACAGACCTTTGGTACCGCCTTTGGCGCGACGCTCTGTGGGCGCTGCCGTGGTCCCTTGTCCTTCGGGATGGAACGGCTGCGTTTCGCAGCCGCGCGACCAGGGCTGAACCCGACATTGCGGCCACCGCTCCACCGGGACCCCACAGCCGACGGCCGGCGAGGCAGCACCAGGAAGGGTGCAGCCCGGAGGCCATACCCGCGCACAGGCACCGTCCTGCTGGTGTCCCATTTGGCATCAATCGTGCTCACTACCACTCAAAAAGTTTTTCTGGGTTTACAAAGAACAGAACTTGCTCACTCCCAATCTGCTCCACCAGTGAAAGGGTGCTGCCAATCTGCACCCAGGCTCTGTCACCATTGTCGCGCCGCTGGAGGAAGATCGGCCTCGACGCCTTTTGGCCGTCTTGGGGCGAGCCTGGCAGTTTGGGGATGTTTTTCTTCCATGGGATGCGCACGTAGAGGGATGCCAGGGACGATATTGACGATGACGAGGAGGATGAGTAGGAGGAAGAAGGCAGATGATGACGAAGGGTGGGAGAAGGCGGATTATGATGATGCTGAGGGTCATGATGACAATGATGATGCTGATGATGATGATGACGATGATGCTGATGCTGTTGCTGATGCTGATGATAACGATGAGGATTCTGATAATGATGATGAGGGCAGCGATGATGATGATGAGGATGATGATGATGATGCGGATGATGATGATGAGGACGAGGATGATGATGATGGTGCTGGTGATGATTGTGATGAGGATGATGATGACGATGACGACGATGACGATGAGGATGACGATGATGACGATGATAATGCTTCGACTGATGATGACGATGATGTGGAATCTGATGATGACGATGATGCTGATGATAACACCGATGTTGCTGGTGGTGGTGGTGATGATAAAGATGATGATGTTGTCGATGATGATGATGACGATGATGACGATGATGATGATGATAATAATAGTAATAATAATAGTAATGTAGATGTCGATGATTATGGGGATGATGCTGACTATGATGACGATGACGACGATGATGATGACAATGATGATGATGATGGTGATGAACGGTTAAGATGATGATTATTGGGATGGTGATGATGCTGTGGACGATGGTGATGGTGATGGTGTTCGTGATGGTGATGGTGCTGGTGATGCTGGTGATGATGACGATGATGTTGATGATGATGCTGATGCTGATGCTCATTATGCCGATGATGGTAATGATGAGGATGAGGATGAATGATGCTGAGGATGATGATGCTGATGATCATGATGCTGATGATGATTATGATGGTGACGAAGCTGTCGATGGTGATGACGATGCTGACTATGATGACGCTGATGACGATTTTGACGATGACGATTTTGATGATGATGCTGATGATGCTGACGATTGTGATGATTATGCCGATGATGATGATAATAATAAAGCTGACGATAATGATGACGATGCTGATGATGATATTGATGATGATGGTAATAATGATGACGGTGACGGTGACGATGACGATGATGATGGTGATGATGAGGATGCTGACGATTATGATACTGATGCTGATGATGATGACGATGACACTGGTAATGATGATGATGATGATGCTGCTGATGATGATGATGATGCTGGTGATGATGGTGCTGATGATGATGATGAGGACGAGGGTGAGGATGATGATGATGATGATGATGATGATGATGATGATGCTGATGCATATGATGATGAGGCATGAGGATGAGGATGAGGATGTGGATGCTGATGATGATGACGATGCTGATGATGATGAGGATGCTGATGTTGATGATGAGCCATGATGATGATGCTGATGAGGATGATGATGACGACGACGACGATGATGATGATGGTGATGGTGCTGATGTTGATGATGATGATGATGATGACGACGACACCGACGGCGACGATAATGATGATGATGATTTGTGATGATGCTGATGTTGATGATGATGATGATGATGATGACGATGACGACGACGACACCGACGGCGACGATGATGATGATAATGGTGATGGTGCTGATGTTGATGATGATGCTGATGCTGATGCTGATGGTGGTGATGATGACGGTGCTGATGATGATGTTGTTGATGCTGATTATGATGGTGACGACGATGCTGATGATGCTGATGATGATGCTGATGATGCTGTTGCTGATGATGATGATGGTGGTGGTGATGATGATGGTGATTGTGATGATGATGATGATGATGCTTATGATGAAGATGATGATGATGACGATGCTGCTGCTGCTGATGATGATGATGCTGCTGATGATGATGATGGTGATGATTCTGATTATGGTGATGATGATGATGATGATGATGATGATGATGGTGATGATTCTGATTATGCTGATTATGATTATGATGATGATTAGGATGATGATGATGATGCTGATGCTGATGCTGATGCTGATGCTGATGATGATGATGCTGCTGATGATGATGATGATGATGATGATGATGATGATGATGATGATGATGCGGGGAACGGCGAGGAGGCGAGGAGGCGAAGTAGGAACGTCGCGATAACGTTTAACGGGGCGGGGGTTCGGGGCCGCGATCATGAGCACACGCACGATGGACCACCGCCACCGCCACACCGACATCCACGACGGCCACGACCACGACGACCACGACGACGACGACGTCGACGACAACGACGACAACGACGACGACGACGACGACGGCGACAACGACGACGACGATGACGTCGACGACGACGACGACGACTGTTACGATCACGACAACGACGTGGTGGCGCCGCAGGCAGCACGACTCAGCTCCAGGGCGCGCTCAACGTCACCATGAACAGGTCCCCTTGGCCCTAGCGGCGGAGGCAAATGACGAGATAGGGTTCAATGTCTTCAGCATGGAGGAGGATGGGGAGGATGAGGAGGAAGAGGAGGAGGAGGAAGTGGAGGAGGAGGAGGAGGAGGAGGAGGAGGAGGAGGAGGAGGTGGAGGAAGAGGAGCAGCAGGAGGAGGCGAGCTACCTGCGAGGAGGAGGAGGTGGAGGAGGAGGCGGAGGAGGAGGAGAAGGCGGTGGAGGATGTGGAGGATGTGGGGGAGGAGGAGGGGGAGGAGGAGGCCTGGGTTTCTTGGGTTTCGCTGGTTCTGCCGTGGAAGGCAGGACGTTCCCGCACTGAAAATCAAGTGACGTCCTGGGGTTTGGTTTCTTGGTGGTCGTTTTTTATTCATTGTTTTGCCGATCGGCGCGGGCCGTCGCACCCCCCCTCCCTCCTTATGGAGTAGATCTTGGCTGTTTCTGGCGCCTGTTTCGAGCAGGTGGAGCCCCTACCCCACAGGACGCATGGTTCCAAGCAGTCGCACTGAGCAGAGGTCCGGAGCCAGACCCCCCCCCCTGCCCCCCCTTCCGCCCAATGTCGAAACACCGAATAAAAGACGCTCACTTGTGGCATCGGGGGTGGACAGACCTCCTACCCTGACACGTCGCGTCGACTAAGGAATTGGCCGTTTTCGGTTCGCGAGAGGGCGTCGCGGCCATATTTTTGCGGGTACGGGTCCGTTGGTTTCGGTCCCAGGCCGTTTTCACTAAGGGGAGGTCTACTAAAGGGAGGCTTGTCCACCGCCGATGGCAGGCTTTTTGTGGTCGGGCCCCTGCTGTGTAGCCCCAGGCCTCCTCCTTTGTCCCACGCTATCCAGCCAAATGCCTTCCGGGCCTCCGGCCTCCAGCTCCCAGCCAGGTGTACCTCCCTCGGGATCAGGGTGAAGTCGGGCCTGTCCCTCTACAGGAGGAGTATTCAAGAATATTCAGTGGACGTTTGTTTTTTTTGAGCATTTTTCGACTATTGAAAATTTGTTTGGAGTATTTTTGAGGTATCGTCCAAAATCCGCCTGTAGGGGGGCATGCCCGACCTAAGGTCAGGGTGCATGCGCGAGGCCGGTCTCGCTTTCGCGCCTGCCACGGCCCACCACGCAAGGGACGGAAAGGTTCTTCACGCCTCAGCAGCTTTAAGTCGGGTGCGTCCCTTTGCAGGAGAAGTATTCGAAAATTGTCAAAAATATTCAGGGGACGTTTTTTTCTACTATTTTTCTTTTTCCGCTTAAAATCCGCCTGTAGGAGGGCATTCCCGACCTAACAATAGCTTCCGCGCTTGACCAGGACGCCCACGTCTTGCCCAGCTTTCGCACGCCGCTCTCACTGCAGGCGGGGGTGGCGGCGGCTGGCGCCCGCTGTCCTCTTCCTGGCAGGGGCGGCACCTTCTTTTCACTCCAGCGCGTGGGTCTTAGCCTCACGCCTGCGTTTCGGACACCGCCTCGCACCCTCATTTAGGTGGGCCACGTGCTGCACATGCTCTTACACGCTGCGCTTTTGCCCCTTACGCCCAGGCCTCCCTGCCACCTGGTCGCCGCCTCGTGCCCGTAAGTGGTCCACAAGCTGCGAGGGTCGTGCGAGTCTCCCTTCTGCGGTTCTCGGGTGGCTCCGCACACAAGGTTGCATGCCAGTTTTTTCCACGTGCACCCGCTTCGGCGACCCTGTTCCGCTTGCGGCGGCCACGTCCTGACCCCCATCTGCAACGTCAGTTGGTAATTGAATTAGACATGGCTCGCTCCAGTACTCGCTGCGTTGACACTCAACTGGCCGCCGACGAAAAGCGAGAGTGTGTGTGTGTGTGTGTGTATGTGTTGGCGGGAGGCCTCTGGAGAAGGAGGGGGAGGGGGGAAGCGATGGGTTGGTGTGGGGCAGATCCTCTTAAGAACGTCTATGCTGCTGGGAGCAAGCGTCAGGCCAACATTCCAGCGTGGTAAGAGGAGGGGGCGACGACGAGGGCGACGATCCCGATGACGGGGACGAGGGCGAAGACGAATCCGATATCGAAGGCAAAGAGAGGGGGAGCAAGAGGAGGATGGGTGGGGGGAGGACTATCGCTCTTGCTAGCAGTGATGGTGATCCTAGTCGTGGTAGTGGTCGTTGTATGATTGATAATCTTATGTTTTCGTTGTTACTATGTCCCCAAGCGCTGCTTGCACTTAGGCATTCTCATTTGCCTTACTCAGTAATTGCGTTGGTCTGTCGAGGTTTCGCCGCGTCGCCGCCCGTTGCCGCCTCGTTGCCGCCTCGCTGCCACCCGGTGGCGGGGTCCGTCGAGGTTTCGCCGCGTCGCCGCCCGTTGCCGCCTCGTTGCCGCCCACCGCGCTTGGGGGTCCTTCGAGGTCTCGCCGCGTCGTCGCCCGTTGCCGCCTCGCTGCCGCCCCGTGCGCTTGGCGGGTCTGTTGAGCTTGCACCGCATAGCTTGCGCCACATAGCTTGTACCACACAGCATGCACCAAGCAGCCGGCGCCCTCGGGGGCAGCTGGCAGGTGGCTGTGGCTCCGAGCCGGCGCGGGCGCCGACGACGGGAGTGCAGCCGCGACCAGCGAGGGCGCCGCGCGGGCCGACGACTCTGGCGGGAGGCGAGAGGGCTGCGGAGCAGCGCCACTCGGTGCGGGAGGCGCACGGCTACCCCGTGTGCGTCACTTGTGGTGCCTACGCCAGGAGGGAGACGTACGGGCGCGATACGAGCGTGCCCAGGGTGGCCGGAGCAGGCCACGGCCAAGGACAGTGGAAGGGCCGCGCAGAGCGCATCCTCTCGGGGCGGCACCCCGCCGCGAGGCAGCCCCTTGGGTGAAGAGCGCGGTTGGCTCGCCCCTGGCGTGGAGGGTTGGTCTGCAGGTGCGGGCCCGCCTGGTGAAAGGGGCCCACAGGCGAGTGGAGGGCTGTGCGCGTCGCTCCCTGCGGCGGCAGAGAGTTTTTCGTGCAGGAGGCCTCTGGCCTGCTGTGAGGGCCGTGGCTCGGCGGAGGGGCGAGCCACGCTCTTTTGGATCCTGCGGGCGCCCAGTGCCGCAGGCCCGTGTGCAGTGAACATATGGGCTCGTGGAGAAACGGGAGCCGAGAAGCAAACAAAAAAGCTTGTACCACATACAGTGCCGTTTTTCATACATGCTCCGCGTGCGGATCATGTGTTAAAACATGCAGGGATTCAGTATGAAAAACATAGACGAGTTCATGCATACATTTATTCATACATTAACCATGTATTAAAATCCACTATTTTTAAACATCCTATGTATTAAACAAATCCCCTGTAGCTTGCACAACGGAGAGTGCATCACGTAGCAGGGCAGGAGCAGGGGGACGGGCACAACGGGGCAGGGAACAGGCGGGGAGGCGTCGAGTGGGGGGAGGGGCAGCACCGCGGAAGGGGGAAGGGGCGAGGGGAAGGGGGAAGGGGGAAGGGGCAGGTGGGCGAGGCGGCGCCGCGAGGGGGGCGAGGGGGAAAGGGCAGGGCGGAGGGAAGGGGCAGCGAGAGCGGCTGCGGAAAGGGGCTGCCAGGAGCGACGGACGCTGCCAGGCTGCCCCCCCCCAGGTCGTCGGCGCAGTTTGGCGTGGACACGGACTTCCGCAAAGAGCTCTTCAAGTTCACCACGGACGGAAGGAGGATGATGATGATGAGGAGGAGGAGGAGGAGGAGGAGGAGGAGGAGGAGGAGGGAGGAGAGGAGGAGGAGGTGGAGGAGGAGGAGGAGGAGGAGGAGGAGGAGGAGGAGGAGGAGGGAGGAGGAGGAGGAGGAGGACGGAGGAGGAGAGAGGAGGAGGGGGAGGAGGAGGAGGTGGAGGAGGAGGAGGAGGAGGAGGAGGAGGGAGGAGGAGGCGGCGGAGGAGGAGGAGGGATAATGAGGGAAGAGGAGGGAGGAGGAGGGAGGAGGAGGGAGGAGGATGGAGGAAGGGGAGGAGGAGGGTGGAATAGTGATGAGGAGGGAGGAGGAGGGAGGGAGGAGGGGGGAGTAGGAGTTTGAGGAGGAGGAGGGAGGAGGAGGGAGGATGAGGGAGGATGAGGGAGAATAAGGGGCAGGAGGGAGGAGGAGGGTGGAGGAGGGAGGAAGGAGGGAGGAGGAGGATGAGGACGAGGAGGGAGGAGGGAGGAGCGCCGCGCGCGACATCGCACCAACATCCAGTGACAGTATTGTAGTGTCCTGATACTGATCATGATGATGCTGCTACTCCTGGTGATGATGCTGATGCTGATGCTGCTGATGATGCTGATGATGCTGATGCTGCTGCTGCTGCTGCTGCTGCTGCTGATGATGATGATGATGATGATGATGATGATGATGATGATGATGATACCGCTGCTGCTGATGCTGATGATGATGATGATGCTGATGATGATGATGATGCTGATGATGCTGATAATGATGATGATGATGATGATGCTGCTGCTGCTGACGACGACGACGACGACGATGATGATGATGATGATGATGATGATGATGATGATGATGATGATGATGATGATGATGATGATGATGATGATGATGATGATGATGATGATGATGATGATGATGATGATGATGATGATGATGATGATGATGATGATGATGATGATGATGATGATGATGATGATGATGATGATGATGATGATGATGATGCTGATGATGATGATGATGATGATGATGATGATGATGATGATGATGATGATGATGATGATGATGATGATGATGATGATGCGTCTGTGGCCGTGCGCGAGTAATGCTGCTGATGCTGCTCGTTCTGCTGTTGTTGCTGCTGCTGCTGCTTGTGCTGCTCTTGTTGGGGGTCTGTCGAAGGAGGGGGTTGTCGGAGGGGAGAGAGGTCAGTCGGAAAGAAGGAGGGAGAGGAGGGGGCTTGTCGGAGAGAGGGCGGGGTCTGTGCAGGACAGGAGACAGGCTCTGTCGGAAAGAAGGAATGCGATTTCTCGAGAGGTGAGGTCTGTCCTGGAGGAAGGGGGGTCTGTCGGAGTGGGCGGGGCGGGGGTGTCTGTGACAGTGGGCGGGAGCGCTCTTAGGGCGGCTTTGGGGCTCTCTTGGGCTTCTCTCTTGGGCGCTCTTGGGTCCCTCTGGGGGTCTTTTGGAGGCATCCTGAGGCCTCGGATGGTCATCGCAAGAGAAAGGCGAGGGGCAGAAGTCATTAGTTTTCCGTAGGTTTTCGAAGGATGTCATTTTCTTGGAAGGTTCTTTGGGGAGCTATTTGGTGTCTGGAGCCGTCTTGGGGCGGTCTCGGGGCCTCTTGAAGCATCTTCGGATTCATTTTGATGCATGTAAGGCTATCTTGTTGGAACATCTCGGAGGTGGGTGCGGGATGGCCGGGGGAGGGGGGGTCTGTCTTGGATGCCAGGGGGTCTGGGGAAGAAATCGGTCGGGGAGGGGGGATCTGATCTGAAACAGGAGAGGTGTGTCTGCGAGTCGTCGCGGGCCGTCTGGGCCGCGTCTGTGGAAGTGCGCTGGTAATGCTGCTGATGCTGCTCGTGCTGCAGTTGGTGCTGTTGCTGCTGCTGCCGCTGCTGCTGCTGCTGCTGCTTGTGCTGCTCTTGTTTGGGGGGAGGGGTCAGTCGGAGGGGGTGTGTGTCTGTCCTGGAGGGGTGGGGGGGGCTGTCGGGGAGGAGGGAAGAGATCTGTCGGAGGGGGGTGGGGTCTGTCCTAAAACAGGGGGGTTATGTCTGCGAGTCGTCGCGGGCCGTTTGGGATGCGTCTGTGGCCGTGTCCCAGATCTGTAGCCGCCCATGACGCTCTAGGTGATCGTGAGGGTGAATCGCCGAGTGTCGGGGGCGACGAATTCGAAGCCGACCAAGCAGCTGCAGCAGCAGCAGCAGCAGCAGCAGCAGCAGCAGCGTTCCTAGGCGTGTGAATCCACCATCGCTCACTCCCAAGCAGCCTGCCGTGCTGCTCGAGCCTCGGGCCGCGCCAGCGCGAAGCGAGTTATGGGGGGACACGCCCCCGTGCAGCGGGAGGCAGTCCGAATGGTACAGTGCCAAGCGTTTTTTTGCTTCGATCACGCATTCCCCATGCTGGCGTATCAATATACATGCACTTTCCTCCTCCTCCTCCTCCTCCTCCTCCTCGACTGCAGCCATGCACTTTAAGATTCATGCATTCCCCATGCTGGCGTATCAATATACGTGGCCCCACCCCTGCGACCCGCGCGTCGGTCTGTGACGCCAGGTCTGCGCCGCAGTCTCGTCTCGGCCTGGTTCTCTCCGCGTCGAGAACTGTGGCCGGCCACCACGGCCACGGGTGTGCGGAGGCGGGCCCCGCCAGCGCAAATGGCCGACGAGTGCGAGTGCCAGGTCGACGAGGTGGTCACGCCGGCCGTCTTCGGCCCCCGCCCGCCCCCCTCCGCGCAGTCGCAACCCTCCCGTGCTGGGTTCTCGTTTTGCTTAGAGCACTGTGGTCTCCACCTCCTCTCCTGCCTCTCCCCTCCTCCTGCCTCCTCCTGCACTGCTCCCTGGGGGGCCGCGGACCGCGCAACCGTCGCCACTTTCGTGGGCTCCTGGGAGGTCCAGCGGAGTCGGAGGGTTACGCGCACCCAGCCGAGATCTCGCTGCTCCCTGGGTGGCTGCGAGCTTTTGAGCCGTCGCCACTTTCGTGGGCTCCTGGGAGGTCCAGCGCAGTCGGGGGCCACGCGCTCGTTGCTCCCTGGGTGGCCGCGACCTGTGCAACCGTCGCCACCAGCTCCTGGGAGGTCCAGCATCCAGCCGAGACCTCGCTGCTCCCTGGGTGGCTGCGACCTGCGCAACCGTCGCCGCTTTCGTGGGCTCCTGGGAGGTCCAGCGGAGTCGGGAGCCACGCGCACCCAGACGAGACTTCCCTGCCCCTTGGGTGGCTGCGAACTGCGCAGCCGTCGCCACTTTCGTGGGCTCCTGGGAGGTCCAGCGCAGTCGGGGGCCACGCGCACCTGGACGAGACCTCGCTGCTCCCTGGGTGGCTGCGACCTGCGCAACCGTCACCACTTCAGTGCGTTCGTAATCACCCCTTTCAATCGTCGCCTTGCGTGGAGAAGGGGTTGGGTATGTCTCGGGTACTTTTTATACAGAAGATGTTGCCGAATTCATTTTTCCTGGTTTGTTCTTCCAATCCGAACGTTCTCGGGTATTCAGAAATCGCGCTCCCGCTGCAGCGTAGGCCTCATATTAGGATCGCGGCTTTGCTCCCGTCTTTCAGAATGGCGCTCTCGCCCCAGCGCGAGCCGTTTTTATGGATCCGAGTCCTTCCTCATCGTTGTCGCCCTCCTTATTTCCCTTCTCCACCTTGCTCTGGACCTCCTGCTCCTCCCGCTCCTTCCACTCCAGTTCCCGGTGCTGCTGTTCGTCCTCGTCCTCTTCTCTCATCCTCCAGCTTTTCCTCCTGCTTATCCTCCTGCTCATCTGCCTTCCTCCTCCTCCTCCTCCTTCTACGCCGCCTCCTCCTCCTCCTCCTCCTTCGCCACCTTCTCCTCATCCCCCTACTCTTACATATGAGCTCCCTTTTTCTGACTGCGCATAGCACATTGGATCTTGTTTGGGGTCCCACGTCCGCTATGATATGCGCCCGTGGATAGAAAACAATTCAGCGCAATGGAAAGGGATGGGCGGGAGGGGTAGGATGTCAGATACGGCGCAGGCGTCATTATCTTGCATCAGTACACATTATGACTGCTACTCTCCTCCCTCGTCTACCTCTGTCCGGAAGATGCCCCGCTCTCTCCTCGTACTGTTTTCACAGGATTTCAGTTTTTGGTCTTTCTCGTGTGTTTTTCCAATCAGATCGTTTTCGGTCCTCCAAAGTTGTGATCCCGCTGCTGCGCTGGCTGATTTCCGGTTTCTGATCCTTCAAAATCGTGCTCCCGCTGAAGCGCTGGCCTCAATTCCGACCTGCGGACCTCCGAATGGTACTCCCACTGCAGCGCTGGTCTCATTTCCGTGTGTTCGCTCCTTCCGAATGGTGCTCCCGCTGCAGCGCTGGCTTCATTTCGGCGTGTTGTTCCTTCCGACTGGTGCTCCTGCTACAGCATCAGCCTCATCTCCAAATTGTCGGTCCTCCAGCACGCTTCTCAGGTTGCACCGTTCATGCAGCCATGATATTCAATTTTGTTATCTGACGTGCCGCTATTCTGCGGTTCCATGCCTTGTTCTATAATGTTGTGGTATGCAATTTCGGGCTACGCAGTGCCATGCCATGCAATGGCATGCCATGCAATGCTATGATATGTACCGCTATGCGATCTCATGTCTTGCATTGCAATGCTATGATATACAATGCCTGACTGCGCAATGCTATGCCATGCGATGCATCGCGTACCCTTTGGGGGTCGTTGCCCTCTTCGACATCCGACTGTGCGAACAAAGAGGGGCTCTACGCAATGGTAAGGGATGGGAGGGAGGGTAGGACCACCTAGCTTGCCTCTCCCGTCTCTCCCCTATCTTCGTCTTCCTTCCACGTCCCGTTTCCCCCTACCCCCCTCCATTGTCTCCCTCCCCCGCTCTCTCACTCTTCTCTCCCACCTCCCTCCTCCACTCTCCCTTCCTCTCTCACCACCCTCATCCTCTCCCCCCCTCCCGCCCTCTCCCCCCCATCCCTTCCCTGCGGGTTGCTGGTCGTTGTCGTTCGTCGCGTCGCCGCTGTCGCCGTCGTCGGCCGTCGTCGCTGGGCTCGATCGTCTGTCGTCCTCGTCCTCGCCGTCGCCGTTCGTCCTCGCCGTCGTGTGGCTGACTGCCGCTTTTCTCTCTGCCTGGACCTCGAGCGCTTTCGGGGCGTGCGCGAGGCTGCCCTAGAATCCTGGAGTCTTAGAACCCCCTCCCTTTCCCTCCGTCGCCCTCCTCCCCGGGACCCGCCCCCCCTCTCCCCCCCCGCCCTCCTTCCAACATCCCTTCCGTGACCCCCCCCGTGCGCTACGCAGCTGGCAGCCTCCCTTGAAGCCGCCCGCCCCCCCGCGGCCCCGCGCTCGGCCGAGCGCCGACGAGCAGACTGGGCCCACATCCGAGCGAGTGGGGCCCGCGATCCTCGGCGGCCCTGGGCGGCCCCCGGCGGCCCCTGGCGGCCCTCGGCGGCCCTTCGGCGGCCACTGGCGGTCTTCGGCATCCTTCGGCGGTCCCCGGCGGCCCCCGGCGATCCTCGGGCTGCCTCTGGGATGCCAGGACACGCACTGGCCCGCCAGCAGCCGCGACGACGGCTCAGCTTTCGCCCGCCTGGTTACCAAGATGATGTCGTCGCAGCCGCTGAAGGCTCGCAGCTCCTCTTCCTCGTTCTCGTCCTCCTCGGCCTCCTCGTCCACCTCCCCCTCCTCCTCGTCGCCCTCATCTCCTTTATTGCTGCTGCTGACCATCATGCTCTTACGTTTGTCATCCATATCTTTCTCCTCCTCATCCAATGTTTTGTTGCTGTTGTTGTTGTTGCTGCTGCTGTCATTGTTGCCGCTGCTGCAGTTGTCGTCGTCGTTGTTGCTGCTGTTGTTGTTGTTGCTGTTGTTGTAGTTGTTGTTGATTTCGTCGTCGTCGTTGTTGTTGTTGTTGTTGTTGTTGTTGTGGTTGTTGTTGTTGTTGTTGTTGTGGTTGTTGTTGTTGTTGTTGTGGTTGTTGTTGTTGTTGTTCTTGTTGTTCTTATTGGTGTTGTTGTTGTTGCTGTTGTTGTTGCTGTTGTTGTTGTTGTTGTTGTTGTTGTTACTGTTGCTGTAGTAGTAGTAGTAGTAGTAGTAGTAGTAGTTGTTGTTGTTGATGTTGTTATTGTTGTTGTTGTTGTTGTTGTTGTTGTTGTTGTTGTTGTTGTTGTTGTTGTTGCTGTCGTGGTGTTATTGTTGTTGTTGTTGTTGTTGTTGCTGTTGTTGGCATCGACGGCTATGTGTGCCACGTCCCCGGAGGGGGGGGCAGCAGGCCAGCAGGCCAGCACCCACACCCACGCCGACGCCGACGCCCACGCTCACGCCCAGGGAGGGGCGGGCAGCAGGCCAGCACCCACACCCTCACCGACGCCCACGCCCACGCCCACGCCCACGCCCACGCCCACGCCCACGCCCGCACCCACATCCACGCCCACGCCCACGCCCACGCGCATGCCCACGCCCACGCCCACGCCCACGCCCACGCCAACGGGCCAATTTCGGAGCACTCCTGACACGTTTCGTGGCCCCACGAGAGTCTCCACGGGATGCCTGGGGCCAATTTCGGGGTACCCCTCACACGTTTCGTGGCCCCACGAGGGGTCTCCACGGGATGCCTGGGGCCAATTTCGGGGTACCCCTCACACGTTTCGTGGCCCCACGAGGGGTCTCCACGGGATGCCTGGGGCCCATTTCGGAGTATCCTTCACGTTTCGTGGCCCCACGAGGGGTCTCCATGGGACGCCTCGGGCTCGTTGCGGTGCACCTTTCACGCGTTTCGTGGCCCCACGAGGTGTCCCCACCGAAGGCAACGCGAGTCATTTCGGATGCCTCGGGGTAATTTTGGAGCACCCCTCAAACGTTTCGCTGCCGTTCGAGGGTCTTCACGGGACGCCTCGCGCTCATGTCGGAGCACCCCTCGCACGTTCCGTAGCCCCTCTCACGGTCCACTGCCCTTGTGGAGTGTCTCCGCGGGACGCCTCGGGCCCACTTCGGATCACCCTCACACGTTGCGTAGTTCGACGAGGGGTCTCCACGGGACGCTCCGGGCCCATTTCGGAGTACCCTTCAAATGTTTCGTTGTCCCACGATGGGTCTCCACGGGACGCCTCGGGCTCATTTGGGGGCGCCCCTCACACATTTCGTGGCCCCATGAGGGGTCCCAACCAGAGGCATCGATTGATTCTCATGATTCTAATTGATTCCTATTGTTTCCCATTGATTTTCAGTAATTCCTATTGATTTTATTTGTTTCCTATTGACTCTTAATTTATTCTAAGTGGGTCCTATTGGTTCCTGTTGATTCTCAGTGATTCCCACTGGTTCTAATTGATTACGATTGATTCTAATTCATTCCTGTTGCTTCTAGTTGATCCCTATTGCTTCCAATTGATTCAAATTTATTCCTATGGCTACCAATTGATTTCGATTGATTCCGATTGATTCCTACTGCTTCTAACTGATTCTCATCAATTCCAATTGATTCTGAATGATTCCTATTGCTTCCTTTTTGTTTAAATTGATTTCTATTTATTCTAATGTATTCGTATTGATTCTAATTGATTCCTGTTGATATCAATTGATCCCTATTGATTTCGACTGATTCCTATTGGTTCTCAGTGATTCCCATTGGTTCTAATTGATCTTCATTGATTCTAATTGGTTCGTATTGATTCGAATTGATTCCCGCTGGTTTTAATTGAGTCTCATTGTTTTAACTTGTTTCCTATTGTTTCTCATTGATTCCTATTGATTTTAATTGATTTTTCATGTCTCTAATTGATTCCGATTGATTCTAGTTGATTCCCATTCATTATATTTGATTCTTATTGATTCCCATCGGTTCTCGTATATTCCCATTGATTCCCATTGATTATATTTGATTCTCATTGGTCGCCATTGATTCTACTATATTCCCATTGTTTCTCATTGATTCCCATTGATTCTAATTGATTCATAGATTCTCGTTCGTTCCTATTGAATCCAATTCATCCCTTTTGATTCCTATTGATTTGAATTGATTCCCATGGACTCTGATCTATTTCATTGATCTCTATTGATTCCCATGGGTTTCTATTCATTCTAATTGATTCCCATCGATTCTTATTGATCCTCATTGATTCTAATTGATTCCTGCTGATTCGAATTGGTTCCTATTTGTTTTATTGATTTGTGTTGGGTCTCATTGATTCTTGTTGATAGTAAGTGATTTTATTGGTTCTAATTTATTCCGGTTGATTCTCATTGGTTCCCATTGATTCCTATTGACCCAGATTGATTTTAATTGGTTCTCATTAGTCCATACTGGCTCTATATGATTCTCATTTATTCTAAGTGGTTCTTATTGTTTCTAATTCATCCCTGCTGGCTTAAACTGATTCCCATTGGTTCTAATTGTTTCTGGTTGATTCTGATTGATTCCTGTTGATATCAATTGATCCCTGTTGATTTCTATTGATTCCTATTGGTTCTCAGTGATTCCCATAGGCTCTAATTGATTCTCATTGGTTCTAGTTGATTCGTATTGATTCCTATTGGCTCCTATTGGTTTTACTTTAGTTTCATTGTTTCTCATTGGTTCCTATTGATTCTCATTGATTCCTATGGGTTTTTATTTATGCATCTCGTCTCTAATGGATCCCGATTGATTCTAGATGATTACAATTGGGTATATTCGATTCGTATTGATCCCCACTGTTTCTATTATATTCCCATTGATTCGCATTGATTTTATTGGATTCTTATTGATCGCCATTGATTATAATTGATTTCTATTGTTTCTGATGGCTTCATTGGTTCTCATTCATCCCCGTTGAATCCAATTCATCCCTTTTGATTCCTATTGTTTTGAATTTATTCTCATGGACATTTATCGATTTAAATTGATATCTACGGATCACCATTGATTATGGTTGATTTTAATCGGTTTCAATTGATTCTTTTTTGGTTTTCATTGGTTCTAATTATTCCTAACTGATTCTCGTTGATCCCTATTGGGTCTAATTGATTCTCATTGATTCTAAGTGAATATGATTGTTTCTAAGTGGTTCCTACTGATTCTAAGTAATTCTAGACGCTTCGCGTATCCCCACCAGCCCATCCAGAAACGATGTCCAGGCGAGTTGAGGTGATCAGGGAAGTGCGGCAGCAAAGAGGAGGACGGCCGAACCGTGCAAAGGAGTGAGGAGGAGAAGGAGGAGGTGGATGGATGGATGAGGGAGTAGGAAGAAGGAAGATGAATAGGATGAGGAGGAGGCGGAGGAGGAGGAGGAGGAGGAGGAAGAGAAGGAGTAGGAGCAGGAAGGAGGAACAGGAGGAGGAGGAGGAGGAGGAGGAGGAGGAGGAGGGCAAGCACAAGGGCCAGAGGTCTCTTGGATGCCTCTCGGAGCCTCTTGGGGTATCTCTTGGGCGATTCTTGGTGGCCTCTTGGGACGTCTTGGGGGTCTCTTGGCGATCCTGGGGGGCTCTTCGGGGTCTTGGGTGCCTCGGGGGGGGGCCGCTTGGGGCCGCTGAGGCTCTTCTTGGGGGCCTCTTGGGGGCCTCTTGGGGCCATCTTGGGGCCATCTTGGGACCTATTGGGGCCTTTGCTTCTTGGGGCCATCTTGGAGAAGATCGGTCAACGAAGGGGGGGGCCTTCATTAGGGCCCCCCCCCAGGAGGCCAAAATGGGGCCAAAACCATGTAAAATCAATGATTTTGGCTTCCTCGCCGAGGCCGTTTTGGACGCTCCAACGCGTTGCCGCGCCCCCCGTCCAGGTCCAGGGGAGGGGGTAGGGGGAGGGGTAAACCCCTCCCCGAAGGGGAAGACGGAGGTGTGGAGGAGGAAACTCTCTAAACCACCTGCGCCCAGAGAGAGGGTTGGTGGGATTCTAGATGCTTCGCACCAGAGGCCGGCCTGTGCCTGTTGTAGCTAATTACCCTCGCCCGTGGCCCGGACGTCGTTACCGCTCCCTGACCTCGCCTCGGAGCCGCTGACCAAAAAAAAGTAATCCCACCAGCCTTTGGCTCAAGCCAGGCTCCCCCTTCCTCCCTCCTCATCCTCGTCCTCCCCTCCGCAGCAGCAGCACGAGGGCCCCGCGAATGTGCGCCAGTCCCTGTGGCTTCGCTCTCTGGCGCGTCTTACTGCCCTTCACCCCTGTGCTGGCGCTGGCGCTGCTGGGCCTCGGCCTCCGCAGGACCTGCGACCTCGCCATCCTCAGCGGTGGCACGTGGGACCTGCTGCGGGGCCTCGCCGGTGCCCAGCCCGCGGCGCCGCTGGCCCCAGCCCCAGCGCCGCTGGCATTGGCCCCGGCCCCGGCCCCAGCCCTGGCCCTGGCGCCGCCCGCCCCGGCTCCAGCGCCGCCGGCCCAGGCCCCAGCGCCGGCGGCCCAGGCCCCAGCCCCGGCGCTGCCAGCCCAAGCTGCGGCTCCTGCGCCGCCGGCCCCAGCGCCGCCGGCCCCGGCCCCAGCGCTGCTGGCCCCTGCGCCGCCAGCCCCAGCGCCAGCGCCGGCGCCGGCGCAGGCCCATACGGGAAACGACTCGCGGGCGGAGGTGCGTCCGAGGCCGCAGACATCCGAAGGGCAGCCGGGGCAAGCCTCCTGGAACCTCTCGGTTGCCGTTTGCTTCAACGGGCTACAGCGGCATCTGTTGTCGTGGCCCGTGAGGTATCATTATGTCAAGCACGTGGAAGAGCCTCTGCAGCGTTACGGCTTCAAGGTGGACCGGTATCTGAGCGTAGTGAAGCCTTTTGCGCCCCTGAGCGTCATATCTGCCACGTACAACGCGACAGCTTTGAGGGAGGTCCCCGAGGAAAAGTTCTATAAAAGCTGCAACAGCAAGACACATATTGTTGATCGCCAGGAGCTTCTTCAGTACGTGAGCGTGCGCGACTGTTACGAGCAGATCGAGGCCGTCGAGTCAGCCGCCAATGCGAGGTACACTTGGATATACCGGATGCGTACAGACATGGTGCACTTAGCTGACATTCCTTTGCATCCTGGTCTATCGCAACAATTCGCTTACGTGTCTCACGGAGGCATGTCAAGAGATCATGGGTGGCAGTGCATGAACGATCACATTTTCCTCTGTCCACGCCGCCTGTGCAGGCCGTATTTTTTTGTCATAGAGCTTTGGGACAATCAGTTCTCTTGTGGGTCAAGTCGGCCGAAGCAAGACCTTTTGCCCGAAGGGTGGGATGGTCCTCCGTCGGAGCCGTTTGTTTTGCCGAAGAAGCCTAATTCGATGCAGCAGTGGTATTTTTTTCGCAGATATACGCGTTCGACGCAGGGCCGGCCTTGCAACAGCACCCAGACAGACGCGGAGTGCTGCGGGCTCCTCCGCGAGTTGGAGTGGTGGTATGTCCTGGCACGCAACAAGAGCGGAAAGGTCTTGTCCGTGGACTGCCACTACGGGATCCGGGAACGGCACGGGACCGGATGCCCCGAGAGGTGCCAGGAGACGTTGAAGCAGTGCAAGGACGTGTCGCGGGAGTTCGAGAGGCTCTGCACCGCGGAGCCCGGGCATGCGGACTGCGCGTGGGTCTGGCAGGGCTGGAGCCCTCCTGGCACGACGACGGCGAGCCTCCCCGCGGCCCCGGGCTCCAGGAAGCCTTCCAAAACCTTGCCCAGCCCCTAGGGGCCCGAGGCAGCCCGAGAGGGCACCCGCAGGGGTCCAAGATGGGCCAGGAAGAGCCCGACATGGGCTAGGCGCCCCTCCCCCCCGCCCGGTTTCACTCTCGAAGCTTTTTGGCCCACTGGCCGTCGCGGTGCTTCGGACATGGGCCGAAGGGCTGAATAGAGCAAACAGCAGTCTTGGAGTCCAGGCAGGGTCCCAACTCCCACCTGCGAGGCACGAGAAGTCTTTCTGGAAATGGGGGGAGGAGGGGAGAGGGGGCGCAACTGCGGCATGCAGAATCATTCCACGTGCTGGAAGAGCAGATATTGTGCATGCATGGGATGTTGCTTATGTGGTCACTCTGTCTCTCACCCTCCCTCCCCATGCCTGCGCGCTCTCACTCATGTACATATAACGGGGGACCGGGTCCGGGGGCCCGGGGCTGGAGCCACGACCACAAATGTGGGGCCCGGCGCGCCGGGAGCCCTGCTGGAGCGCCGGGGACCGTCCAAGATCGCCCGAAGATGGCTTCGGAACGCTCGAAAATGCGCTCCGATGGCTGCATATGCCTTTCAAGGCGACTCCCATGACGCTAAGAAGGCCCCCGAAGGCCCTGAAGACGCCTCAAGAGGCATCCCTAGAGAGCCTTAATAAGCAAAAATCGTCGATCTCCTTTGGGGAAACTGATATTGTTGACGCTTCGCGTATCCCCACCAGCCCATCCGGAAACCATGCCCAGGGGAGTTGAGGTGATCAGGGAAGTCGGGGAGCATGCAGAATAACAAAGGGCGGGGAACTGTCACATACCCCGAGAGGGGGAGGATGGAAGAGGAATCGTCGTCGGAGGAAGAGGAGGAGGAGGAAGGGGACGAGGAGGAGGAGGAGGATGATAATGAGGAGGATATGGAGTAGGGCGAGGACGAGGAGGACGAGAAGGAGGAGAAGGAGCAGAGGGAGGAGAAGGAGGAGAAGGAGGAGGAGGAAGAGGTGGATGAGAAATTGAAGAGGACGGCGAACCGAAGAGACAGAAGCGTCTGAAATGCATTTCGGAGATCCTCTTGAGGCTTCTTAGGGTTCTCTGGGAAGCCTCTTGGAGGTCTCTTGGGCGCTTCTTGGGGCCTCTTGGAACCATCTTGGGGCGGTCTTGGGGCCTCTTGGAACCATCTTAGGAACCATCTCGAGCGATCTTGCGCTATCTTGAGCCATCTTGGAGCTCATCTTGGGCTCTCCGAGGCGCTCTTGGAGCCGTCTTGGGCGAAAAAGCACCGTCTGACACCTCGCGCCCCCCCCCCCCTTCCAGGTCCAGGGGAGGGGGTATGGGGAGGGGCAAACCCCTCCCCAAGGGGGAAGAGGGAGGGGTGGAAGAGGATCTGATTTAGACCACCTACGCCCAGAGGGCTGGTGGGATTTGCAACACTTACAGGGATGGAGGGCGGTTCCTTTTTGAAAATGAGTTCTCGCCTGAGACTTCCTCGCCGTGTATAATCCTGAAGCTTGAAGTTTGCAACAGTTTTATGGATGGAGGGCGGCTGTTTTTCAAAATGGGGCTTTCGCTTCGATTCAAACGTGGCAGTGCGCACGGCGTAGCCATGTCGTCCTGGATCGACGAAGAGTATTATATCGTCGACGCCGTGCGGCGCGTGCTTGCTGGAGATATCCTTGAGAGCCGCAAGGGTGGCTGTGACGACTTGCTGTGCCCAAGTCCCAGGAGCGTTGTCCGGGATGATAGGACATATGGCGATGGTCTTGTGGTGGAGGTGCAAAGCGTGGCGAAATAGGCGGTCGCAGGTCGCAACGATGAGCGCGAGGAAGGAGGTCGACATCTCCTCATCCGCCTCGAAATCCTGGACGAGGATATCGTAAGGTCCCGCTACCAGCATCACGTCTGGCGCGAGAGGTGTGCCTGTCGGTGGTCTCGCACGTCGTTTGGTGGTGCTGTCGCCAGAAGTGAAGGACCGCCTTCGAATGTAGTTGGTGATGTGTTGGCGGGCGCAGGGGGAAACCCTTGCGTCCGGGCCTGGGGTGGTAACCCATCCTCGGCCGAATCGGGGGCAGGGGGAAACCCTTGTCTCCGGGCCGCCGGTGGTAACCCATCGGCGGCCGAATCGGGCGCAGGGGGAAACCCTTGCGTCCGGGCTGGGGGTGGTAACCCATCCTGGCCGAATCGGGGGCAGGGGGAAACCCTTGTCTCCGGGCCGTCGGTGGTAAATCGAATCGGGGCAGGGGGAAACCCTTGTCTCCGGGCCGTCGGTGGTAACCCATCGGCGGCCGAATCGGGCGCAGGGGGAAACCCTTGCGTCCGGGCCGAGGGTGGTAACCCATCCTCGGCCGAATCGGGGGCAGGGGGAAACCCTTGTCTCCGGGCCGTCGGTGGTAACCCATCGGCGGCCGAACCGGGCGCAGGGGGAAACCCTTGCGTCCGGGCCGGGGGTGGTAACCCATCTTCGGCCGAATCGGGCGCAGGGGGAAACTCTTGCGTCCGGGCGGGGGGTGGTAATCCATCCTCAGCCGAATCGGGGTTGGTAGGGCGCCCCAGGGCGCAACCTATGGCGCAAGAAGTAGGAACCCGTTTAATTTTCGGCGGGCCAGGGTGCAACCTATGGCGCAATGAGGTGGAGGTGGGAAGACAGTGTCGGGCATTTTAGTGCAAGCATTGTCAGGTAGCAGCAGCTGCGCACCGATTGTCACCGTCAGTGAAGCAGCATTCGTCCCCCGTTCGTGCGGTGGCGAGTGCGGTGGTGACATTGAATCAGGAGTGCCCTCCTGAGTCAGGGGCCAGACCCTGGCGCATTCCTTTCTCGTTTCGAGACAGGTGGGTGGCCCAGAACAGGCCGTCCATCGGTCGCGAGATCCTGGTGCGCGCCGTGGCGCTGTGTAAGACCTGTGTGGGCGTCGGCGGTCAGTTGAACTTAGGTGCTAGCAAGAGCCATGTGCTCCTGAGGTGATAAGAAAACCTTTTTCGGTATGCAAAAGCCACACATATGCTTGAGGAAGATCATCGACGTGCGTCCTGGTAGTCCTGGGGCGTTTCGGAGAGCGAACACATCGTGCCAAAGGTTATGAACATTCAATATTTGTACAAGACGCTCACGGCGAATCACCGCCGCCCCCTGCCTTTTTGGAAACGCCGATGTGGCCGAATGTTGTGGCCAGAGGTCTGCCAAGCTATCGGCCATGTGTTCCCCGAATATGTTTGGAAAGCCTTCGGGGAACATGTGGGGGAAAATGAGCACGAAGAGAGGAATAGGAAGAGCAAGAGTAGGAGGAGGAGAAATAGGCTTCTTGGAGCCTCTTGGGGCACTCTTGGGGCCTGCTGGGAGCTTCCTGGAGGCCTCTTGGAGGCCCCTTGGGGGCCTCCTTGGGCATGCTGGGGGCGTTCGGGGGCTTCTTGGGGGCCTCTTTGGCCGTCTTAGGGCTTTCGTGGCCCGTCTGACTCCGTCTTGGGGGCTCCAGGGGGCGTCCAGGGCCGTCTTGGAGGCCATCTTGAGCGTCTTGGAGGCTTCTTTGGCCGTCTTGGGGCTCTCTTGGGGCCTTCTTGGGGGCCTCTTGGGCCGTCATGGGGCCATCTTGGAGGCCTCTTGGGCGCTCTTGTGGCGATGTTCGGGTTCTCTTGGGCCGTCTTGGGCCGTCGGAGAGCTGAAAAGAAGAACATACCAAAATCATTTGAAAAGCAATGGAAATCATTGATTTTGGCCCTTTCGGGCCTTCCTGGAGCAATTATTCGAGGATTCTTGGGCCGTCTTGGAGGCCTCTTGGGGGCCTCTTAGGCTTCTTGGGCCATCTTGAGGTTATTTTAGGCCGTCTTGGGTGCATCTTGGACCGTCTTGGAAGCATCTTGGGGCCATCTTAGCTGTCTCGGAGACCATCTTCGGCGTCTTGGAGGCCTCTTGTGCCGTTGTGTGGCTCTCTTGGGGGGCGTCTTGGGGGCTTCTTGGGCCGTCGTGGGGCCATCTTGGAGGCCTCTTGGGCTATCTGGGGGCGATCTTGGGGGCCTCTTGGGCTTCCTTGGGGCGTCGGAAGGCCGAAAAGGCGCAAATACCAAAATCTTTCAAAAACCAAAGGAAAATCAACGATGTTGGCCTCTTCGGGCCTTCCTGGAGGAGCTCTTGGAGGCCTCTTGGGCCGTCTTGTGGGCCTCTGGGGAGCCTTATGGGCCGTCTTGGGCCATCTTGAGACCATTTTAGACCGTCTTGGGTGCATCTGGGGCCGTCTTGGAGGCATCTTGGGGCCATCTGAGCCGTCTTGGAGTTTTTTTGGAGGCCATCTTGGCCGTTCTGGGGCCCTCGTGGGGGCGTCTTGGGAACCTCTTGGGCCGTCATGGGGCCATCTTGGAGGCCTCTTGGGCGATCTTGCGGCGACCTTGGGGGCCTCTTGGGCCGTCTTGGGCCGTCGGAAAGCCGAAAAGGTGCACATGCCAAAATCATTTAAAAACTTCAGGTAAACCGACGATTTTGACCTCTTCGGGCCGGCCTGGAGGACCTCTTGAAGGCTTCTTGGGCTGTCTTGTGGGCCTCCGGGGGGCCTCTTAGACTGCCTTGGGCCATCTTGAGGCTATCTTAGGCCGTCTTGGGTACATCTTGGGCCGTCTTGGAGGCATCTTGGGGCCATCTGGGCCTTCTTGGAGGCCATCCTGGCCATTTTGGAGGCATCTTGGAGGCTATCTTGGAGCCGTCTTGGGCAGGAAATTGGGGAAATGACGTCCTGGAAGATCCTTTCGGGTGGCCGGCGGGACGGGCCGAAGCCCCAGGGGGAGTTCTTTTGGAAAAGAACCAAAACCAAAACCTAAGAAGTCCAGCGCGCCAGGCACCCCTGTGGCAAGAGCACAGGGGGCGGCGGATGACGGAAAGCGCGCTTGCGTCGCGATCCGTTAGTCGGGAGAAATAACAAGGGGGGGTGTGGGGGGGTGGCAGCCGCACGCCCCAGATGACGGAAAGCGCGCTTGCGTCGCGATCCGTTAGTCGGGAGAAATAACAAGGGGGGGTGTGGGGGGGTCGGCCAAAAACCCCCAAGATGACGGAAAGCGCGCTTGCGTCGCGATCCGTTAGTCGGGAGAAATAACAAGGGGGGGTGTGGGGGGGGCGGCAGCCGCCCCCGGTAGATCTAATGGGCCTAAGTTTCGGCCAAAATCGTCCCATTCCTATGGGAAAACGTATATTTTTAGCATAATTTGCTTTTTCCGTCCTCGATGCGTCCAAGACGGCCCAAGAGGCGCCCAAGATCGCCCCATGACGGCCCAGGAGGGCCCCCAAAGAGCCCCAATGCGGCCCAAGAGGGCCCCAAGATTGCCGAAAGTTTTGGCAAGAATCGACCCATTCCTATGGGAAAATGTATATTTTTACCATATTAGCTAAAACGCGCCGTCCGTCCCAGTGCCGAGCAGGTCTAATTGCCTTAAGTTTCGGCAAAAATCGTCCCATTCCTGTGAGAAAACGTAAAGAAAAGAAAAGAAAACCGGACCCACCGGACCCGCCGGTATTTCTTTTCTTTTCTTTTTTCCGTCTGTGCCTTTTTGATTCAAGCCGCGCAGTCGCTTCATCTGCTTAGTGCTGTTCCACTCGGCTGCGATGTCCGACATGCCAGTGCAGGGCAACAAAGCCGCTCGCAAGCGGGCGGCTCGCGACGCTGATCCGGGCGTCCT